CAGTCACTTGTTTCGCTCCGACTCGCTCCTTTTCGGCCTTTCGAGTCCAAGCGAGATGGCTGATTCGTAAGTGTGCTGGGATGTTTAATTTTATCTTGAAATTTCCGTTTCATCCTTGGAATAATGTCGTTGAAGTGGCTGCCAGAGTGAAAATTAGGAATGCAAGATCGTTACTAGTGCCAGAAAGTACCGGTATCGTAGTAAAACAAGCGAAATATTGAAACTGAAGTGAATGTAAACATTGGAGGGTTAGGGCAGGCCGACATGTGTTGACGGAGGTTTGGGGGTCTTTAATACGCCGCACTGTTATATTTTCCCCGAGTGTGAAATTAAAATGCAAATTAAAAAGCACGCGGCGGAGTAATATACGACAGTGTTATGAGAAAAAGTGGTTATATACTCGTGGAAATGTGTTCGTGTACTGAAACTAGTGTCTGAAGTTCAGAATGTTTTGTAGATTACACGGTTATACTCGAATAAATTAATAAGTGAATGATATTATAGATGATAAAATATAACGGAATAATGTAAGAAAGCGAAATAGAGGAAATAATGCTAGAATTATAGTAGCACTCACGTGTTCCAACTTCTCACGCGCAAGTGCACGTAAACACCATGCTTTTTACGCGAAAGGAAGACGAGAGAATGCTTTAAGGCATAACTCTTAGTATTGGTGGACTTTTAATGTAAAATCGGTTTAATAGACTATAGCCACACCACTGTCAGATCTTGCATATCGTAGTTTTACTAAAACGGGGCCCATCTCGCTAGCAATTTTATTATTTCAGAAGCATGTGAATTTAAGACTTTCAGCATACATGCTAAGTAGAGATGGTAGCAACTGTCTAATGACTTGACTTTAATCATGATCTTGTATTGCTGACAATCTATACACCCAGTATATTCAGATCCACATGTGTGTTAACATGGGGGAGCAGTAGTTCAATGCCAGTGTGATGTTATCTGAGCATTTGTGTGGAAAGTCAGCATTAAAACAGAAATTAATAGTAAATGGGCTAATTTGGTAGGGCTTTTAATCTGTAAAGTAGAATGCTAGGCATTTGTTACCGAGTGTGACGCACAGTCCAGAGACTAAGCACTAAAACCAGTGTCATGTGGATCCAAAATTCAAACTTAACCTTTCCTACCTTCTATTTATTCCCTAGACAAGAGGGCAAGCATCCCTCTATCCCCCTTTTTAAAGAAAACAGACCTTATGGGTTCTGGCAGTGAGGGACTTGTGGAAATGGTCTCATAATTTCTCATAAAATGAGGCAGTTGCAGGTGTACCTGTTGTTTGACTTGATTCTATTGTGCTCTATAAGGTGGCAGTGTTTATTACTGTGCGTCACTCTTGGTAACATTAACAAATCTATTCAAGGGGGAAGTTTTCGTGTAATAGTCTCTGCATTGGCAAGTTTTTAATTTGTGACTGCAGTGGTTGCTTCATATTTGAGAATGCATATGATTTTAAACTGAAATTAGAAGCTATAAGTACAAGAACAGGTTTAGATTGTAGGACTTTATTTTAGAAATTAGAATTTAACAAGGTTTTCAGTTTTATTATACATAAAATTTTCTTCAACTCATCCCCTTCCTCTCCCCCTTGGCAGAGCACAGAAGGCGGCCCCAGCAGCCGCACGCCCACCAAAGCGTAGGGAGCCCAAGACCCTGCCTGATGGAACACGCAAGCCCAATCCCTACAAGGTAGAGAAGAAGAGGCGCCTTCCTGCCGTACCTGAGGTCGTGCTGAACCGCAGGAGGGAGAGGCGCGCACACAAGAAGAAGTCTCTGGCTCTCAAGCTCAAGGTGCGTCTTGTTGATTTTGTTGAGATCAGGTTTGGCAGAACTAATTTTAACATTTCTTTTTTAATCAAGTTGTCCTTGGGTTAAAATACATTGCATGGACCAACCAGACCCTACACCACTTTGTAAACATTACCATCGGTAGGTTTCTAGGTAGTGAAATACGGTTACATTTTCATTGTCATAAGCATCACAGGTACATCTGCAGCAACCTCGTATTTACTGCGTATTTACTGTGAAGTGACAAAATATCCGCTGCATATCTCCACTCAGATGAAGTCCACAATACTCTTGCACAGCCCGAGTTCTTAATGTCAGTTTTCTGTGAGTTAGCAGGAAGTGCTAGTCTAGGGAATAAATTCAAGGTAGAAAAGGTTAGGTTTGGATTTTGGGTTTGAATGATACCCTGGTTTGGGGACTTCATCTTTGCAAGGTGCATTGCTCTCAGTAACAAATACCATGTACTGCACTGAAGTAAAACAAGCCATTTGCACATGAACACTAATAGGAATGGTATTTGGTAGAGAGCCATGCATCCTATAGAGACAGTCAGAAAATCAGGTTTTTCTTATTTCCTATACCCAAAGGTTTATTCACACCCCAATGGTTTATTCCTAAACATTGGGGCATCTTGCGAGCCCAAATATCCAAACATAACCTTTCCTACCTTCTATTTATTCCCTAGACAAGGGGGCAAGCCTCCCTCTATCCCCCTTTTTAAAGAAAACAGACCTTATGGGTTCTGGCAGTGAGGGTCTTGTGGAAATGGTCTCATAATTTCTCAGGTGTACCTGTTGTTTGACTTGATTCTATTATGCTCTATAAGGTGGCAGTGTTTATTACTGTGCGTCGCTCTTGGTAACATTAACAAATCTATTCAAGGGGGAGGTTTTCGTGTAAGTCTCTGCATTGGCAAGTTTTTAATTTGACTGCAGTGGTTGCTTCATATTTGAGAATGCATATGATTTTAAGTTGAAATTAGAAGCTATAAGTACAAGAACAGGTTTAGATTGTAGGACTTTATTTTAGAAATTAGAATTAAACAAGGTTTTCAGTTTTATTATACATAAAATTTTCTTCAACTCATCCCCTTCCTCTCCCCCTTGGCAGAGCACAGAAGGCGGCCCCAGCAGCCGCACGCCCACCAAAGCGCAGGGAGCCCAAGACCCTGCCTGATGGAACACGCAAGCCCAACCCCTACAAGGTAGAGAAGAAGAGGCGCCTTCCTGCCGTACCTGAGGTCGTGCTGAACCGCAGGAGGGAGAGGCGCGCACACAAGAAGAAGTCTCTGGCTCTCAAGCTCAAGGTGCGTCTTGTTGATTTTGTTGAGATCAGGTTTGGCAGAACTAATTTTAACATTTCTTTATTAATCAAGTTGTCCTTGGGTTAAAATACATTGCATGGGCCAACCAGACCCTACACCACTTTGTAAACATTACCATTGGTAGGTTTCCTGGTAGTGAAATGTGGTTACATTTTCATTGTCATAAGCATCACAGGTACATTATTCGCTGCATATCTCCACTCAGATGAAGTCCACAATACTCTTGCACAGCCCGAGTTCTTAATGTCGGATTTCTGTGAGTTAGCAGAAAGTGCTAGTCTAGGGAATAAATTCAAGGTAGAAAAGGTTAGGTTTGGATTTGGGGTTTGAATGATACCCTGGTTTTGGGACTTCATCTTTGCAAGGTGCATTGCTCTTGGTAACAAATACCATATACTGCACTGAAGTGAAACAAGCCATTTGCACATGAACACTAATAGATATGGTATTTGGTAGAGAGCAATGCACCCAATAGAGAGTCAGAAAATCAGGTTTTTCTTATTTCCTATACCCAAAGGTTTATTCACACCCCATTGGTTTATTCCTAAACATTGGGGCATCTTTCGAGCCCAAATATCCAAACATAACCTTTCCTACTTCCCTAGACAGAGGGCACCCCCTCCCTCCCCAGTACCCTCCCTCTATTAGTACTTTGTACCTGCTTATTGAAAACAGACTTGTAGAAAACTTGATATTGTGAACAGTAGCTAGGTTATAATGTGGACTTAATCAGTGGATATTTTTATTTCATGTTAAATTTGAGGCTGCACCAGCTGTCTGTGCTTATGACAGTTACTGAGAGAAAAAAGGAAATGGGCACTGCTGTTTTATAAAGCATGAGAGTTGTAATCAACATAGATACAGTTGCCGTGGTATATTTACTTGGAATGACAAATATTCATTGTGTATCCCCACTATGAGGGAAATTGCAGGGTAAAATATGAATAATCTGCACAGAATCGGTTCATCTATTGTCTAAAAAATCCACATATTCATGGCATGATAGTGTTCGACCATCATGTAGGAGTACCTGATGTTGTCTTTGTACTATATCCTACCATAAAAAAGTGCTGCATTTGACTGCATGTTGGCTCTCTAGTATTCATATTTTACCTTGCAATTTCCCTGATCCCATTTAATTGCCTTCCCTTGCTATTGGGTCCAAGATGTATTATTGTAGGGGTGGGTTTTCCGTGGCATAATTCCTGTATATTTGGGTTGTAAAGGGTAATAGGAATCTAGTGATACCAATATCATTGATTGGTCATGCATAGGCATTTCAAAGTTTTGCCATTGCAGATTTTAATTTCTATTATTTACCAACACTGATTACATAAGTCATTGTAGTTTTCCCTTTTTCTATGATAATGTTATTACATTATCCTGTAAATGTATGCAATGTATTTTGTTGCTCAACTTTATTAACAACTCTTGCTTTGAATTAATAACCACATAGCAAAATAGTTGCCTTGGACTGATCATGTCAAATTTGTCTTTAGATTTAGACAGATCCAGATAATTCCATGAATATAGAAGTACAGTTTAGAAATGACAAGATAATTGCTCAAGAGGCTTAATCCATCAGTGGCGGTATTAGAAATCTCTTGGCTTTATAGACTCTGGTGATTTCTGCCAGCTCTCCTGTCGCTGTGACTGGGAGTCCACTATATATAGCAGAACTTCCCACTCAGTTAGGTCTAGCACATCACCACATGTACAGCCATGAACAGAAGAAAAAGGGGTTTATGAAGGCTTTACATGTGACCCAGCAATAATGCGTTAATTAATGCATAACTTTAATAAATGGTCTTCATCATAATGTTTTTCTTTACAGGCCAAGGCAGACAAACGCAAGCTGCGCCAGAAGTACTTCACTCGCGCTGAAGCCTACATCAAGAAGTACCGTACTATGGAAAAGGAACAGCTCAGGCTGAAGCGTGAGGCCAAGGCGCAGGGCACTGTCTTGGTTCCTGCTGAGGCTAGGCTAGCCTTTGTTATCAGAGTTCGTGGGTAAGTTAACAATGTTAATTTTTCCTAATCGGGCATGTCTATTGCTATTGTAAGGTGTCAAAATTTTGAAGTAAATGTTCAGAATAGACCTGCATGAAGAACAAGGTAGTGTCCATAAACACAGCAACATTATGTAGTAAAGAATAAGCAAGAACGTAAAAGCATGACCACAGCTTTCCTTCACATCCCTTTTCAGAAGAATTATAGATTTGCTCTAGTGTTATAATAGAGCTCTTTTTTTCTTTTTTTAAAATTCCATGTCTTAATACAGTTTTCTACTTTTCCAGTGTGAACCAGATCCACCCTAAGGTGCGCAAGGTACTGAAGCTGCTCCGTCTCTTGCAGATCAACAATGGTGTATTCGTTCAGCTTAACAAGGTATGGTGGTGATGTCTATTGGTTTAATGTAGAATTATAACGGTAAAGTCTGATCTTAAACTTCATTACTATGTGTGCTGAGTTGTCTAAGTTTTCAAGAAATTGTTTGGATACGTTAAAGATATTTGTTAATTAAAATGTATTTTGTTGGATCTGTTGTTCTGGGTTAGCATTCTTGTTGAAATTGTATGCATACAGATGGAAAATACCCTGTTAAAATGTAGTAACGATGAATCTTGATTGCCTCTTCAGGCCACTCTTTCCATGCTGCGTATTGCCGAGCCCTTCATCACCTGGGGTTACCCCAACCTGAAGACCATCAAGCAGATGATCTACAAGCGTGGTCATGCTAAGATTGATGGACGTCGTGTTCCTCTGTACTCCAATACCCTGATTGAGAAGTACCTCGGTAAGAATTTGAGTAGATTCTCCTCTTTCAGTACTTTTAATTCTCATCTTTGTTTTTATTTTCATTATTGAAAGATGTTCTTGTTGCAAGTTTGTGTGGTTTAGTGTAATGTGTTGTTCCTAGGTCAGTTCAATATATGTAATTACAGTTGAAGTCAGAATATGTATTATTTCCTAGTTGGATTTGTGTATTTTGTAAAAGGGAACCTACTTTCAATATGAAATCATACATGTTGGCAACAAGCTGGGACAGTCCGTTGACTTTTTGGGAAAGGCCCCGAGTACCAGTTCGTCATGCGAGATAAAGTTGTTTATTATATCAGATATCTAAAGAATTGTTTCTCCCCATTGGGACAGTATTCATCCATTGCTTTGTAAACTGTAATCAGCCTTGTAAGGATCTTGCAAGAAATGTATTGAATTGGAAAAAGGAGATACTAACCTTTTCATTTTCCAACAGGGAAATACGGCATTATCTGTGTTGAAGATATGGTCCATGAAATCTTCACCCAGGGCAAGAACTTCCAGAAAGTGAACAACTTCATGTGGAACTTCAAGGTAAGTTATAATCTCATGACATTCACATTACTTTCCTGTCAAGCCGTCCCCCCCCCACCCCACCCCACCCTTCCTTTCTCTCCTAAAAACATGGTTATGTCCTCTAGATCCAAGGGGTTAAGGACATCTACCTTGTTATAGTTCCTCTTGAAGGGTAGAACATATTTTATTAAAATTAATAGTTTAAAGGCAGGGTACAAACGGCCCGTAAAACAAAAAGTATATTAGCATGAATGTATAAAAGTAGTTACATGATAACATTCTGTAAGTGGATAGGGACAACCAGTAAACATGTTATATTTATTTTATTTACTTTTTCAGCTGAACAATCCCAAGGGTGGCTGGAGGATGAAGACCAAGCACTACGTAGAAGGTGGTGACTTCGGAAACAGAGAGGGTAAAATTAATGCTCTCCTTGCTAAGATGATCTAAATGAATAGAGAAGTGAATGTGATTTTCTTATTACCCTTAAAGCCATTATAGATTTAATAAAGACCTTATTATACTCTGAATTTTACTTGAGAAAATAAGCTTGAAAGATAGTGGAAAAGATGCAATCCCTAGGTATTGCAAACTAGAAAAGATGAAATGTGATTGATCCGTTTTGTATAATGGTGGAAATTATGTAATGAAAAAGAAATCTCGGCATAAGTTGAATCCTCTTAAATTTTACACGAGAAGGCTTAGAAAACTTTTACAAATAACACATGGTATTCCTTCACACTGAAATACATGTTCAGAAAGCTTGCGTGAAGGACCATTATCAAGCCGAAACATTATTTCAAATTAAAACTGGTATAGCACACAACAGTTGATAGTCATCTGCAACAATTTAATGTATTAAAATACTGGAGGCCAGTCCTGGGCATGATTCGCGAATAACTGTAAAGGTGACATCACATGTGAAGAAACCACTTGTTTAACATAGGTTGTCCAACTGTGACTTAATCTTTATTTGTCACCGTTAACCCATTTGCCACATGTGGCAAGAATACATACCATGCCCACTGCAATACATGTTTATTGTATTTACACAGATGGCACTACAAGTTCTTAATCACCAAATAGCCTGTTTATCAGAACTACCTATCTCACCTGTTTACCCTTTTCCTTCACTTTAGGAAAGGGTCTTTTGTATCATTTTATTGTCTAAAATGTTTTACTAACAATTTAATCATAACATCGATAGCAATGGTATTAATAAGAAACATTTTTCCCGCCAATTAAAAGAATGGGAAAATCAGGATTGGTAACTAGGCCCTACTGATTGGCTCTTTGCAGGCTGAGCACATGTGGAGCCATCTGTATGTAACAAAATTCACCAAAAACAGAACAGAAATCCGGGGCGAATGTGTTAATGACCCTGCCAGTTCACGTGGCAGAATTTTGAACAGTTCATCTCTGTGCCCACCTGTGTGAACAGGCTTTCGCAGATATATCATATTATAAAATATACCCCCCTCCCCCCCAATCCCTTGCCCATTGTTGTCGTGAGGGGGGCTTAGGAGGCGGGGACTTGGACCCAATGATGGGGAACTTCCCAACCTTTGGACTCGGCCCTTGACTCGACTAATTTTGCATGGTCTTGTTTCCCCTCCCAACTTTTTTGTTTCTGTCCTTTCACCAAACCCTCCTACTATCCACTTACTAAGGTGTGAGAGCCGTGCTGAAAGGATGAAAGGCTGACTTTGTGCCAGTCCTGAACGGCCTGAGGGAGCCATGGGTATGGTATTCCCCTGCTTTAGTTGCCTAGCCCTTACCCCTCGAAGGGACCCTGAGGGGTGGACTGTTTCTCTCCCCAACATACTCCAGGCTTACCATGGCCAACAATGAAGATGTTATTCCAGTATCGGGCAATGAGGCTTGCCCCTTCATCAAATAGCCCCAACAATTCAAGCTCTTCCGATTCCCTAACCCCAGGCTCTCCTTTGACCACGGCTCCGAACACTACAACTACTACCCCCTCCTCAATACCTACTAGTACAGTATCTACCCTAGTCAACACTCGACCCCCAGGAGACCTTTCTATTCTCCCAACATGCTCAACTTCAACAGCTCTACCCCCACAACCTTCATCAACTAACCCATCCTCCCTTATTACTACTTTACAGCTTTATTGCCCACCTCTCCATAACACTACCTCCCTCAACACTACTCTTCCACACGCCCCCGTCCTTCTACTACCTCCAACTCTACAAAAATCTTATACTCTTATTTTGCCCAGCCAAATGGGACCGATTTTTCGTGATCCTTCCCACAGCTCCCTACTCTGACATTACCCTTCTCTTCCAGCAGTGTTTCCAAAATTAAGTAGGCAAAGTCTCTCTCCGTAGCCGACCCGACCGCTCCCGTCCTGTCACAGTAACCTCTGAAAACCAAGCTATAGCATTAGCAAAACTAACTGATCTATATGGTAATTCCATCCTTGCAGAACCCCATCCTACCCTCAATACTTGCACCGGAACGGTTTCAATCTCCCCAGCAAATTGCCCAATCTATGACAAAAATTAGTCAGATTGTGGAGAAGACTTACTCGCCTGTCTCACGGACTATGATGCGACATCAGTACAATGCTACTCCATTCCTCCCAGAGGTCTTCGTAAGAAACCCACTAACATTGGCAATATTACTTTCCGTAGACATGACCTTCCTTTTAATGTTTACATCGGTGGAGAATCCCTCCCTGTCCGACCATATCAACTTCCTCGTCAGTGCCAAAATTGTTGGCGTTTAGGACATCAGCTAATCATTGCCGTTCCACAGCCAGATGCCCATGTGCCCAACCAGGCCCTACTCGATCAAACTGCTCTGCACAATCGCGCACATGTGCCAACTGTGGCGGCCCCCATAATGTATTTTATAGGGTCTGCCCCACCTACAAATTTGAGTCTGAGGTGGCAACTCTCAGATTCAGACTTGGACTCACTCTACGTGAAGCCAGACAGGAAGCACGTCAACTAAGTTTTTTTCTTACTCCCTGTTCCAGTAATGTCACTCACTCTTCCACTCCCCTACCTCCCAATTTCCTACACCTTCCCCTAAACCTATCCCTCCTCCATCTAACTTCCCCTCTTCTACCTCCTACCTTCCCCAGTCAAATTCTTTTGCCATCCTAAATCCAAACACTCCAATCTCTACTACAGCCCCAACACCTTCCTCTCTCCTTCCCCTCACTACCCGCAGCAGACAGACCAAACGTTCCACCCTCTCTTCCCCTGCCACACAATCACCTCAACCTTCCTTTGCCCCTACACTTCAGACACCAGTCCTCTCCCTCCACCCCCTCACAAGAAAAGCTTTGTCTCACAAAACTCCCCAACCAACTCCATTACAGAAACTCTTGAAGATATTCAAAACTATCTACTCGAGTCCCAAACTGACACTAAAATTCAAATTCCACAACTCCCGCTCCCTTCACACTCCAAGTGACTGCCGATATCCATCCTCCTCCCAACGATATCCCCCCTACACCCTATCCTCCTACCCCTTCCCACCCCTATGTTCCTTATGTAAAGTTCCTCTTTCAGTCCCACACATTCTATTATCATGCCCACGTTTTGAAGCAGCCCGTACCTCTGCTTTCCCCCACCTATCCTCCTTCACCTTCCCCTAAACCCTATCCGATCCTCCATCTAACTTCCCCTCTTCTACCTCCTACCTTCCCCAGTCAAATTCTTTTGCCATCCTAAATCCAAACACTCCAATCTCTACTACAGCCCCAACACCTTCCTCTCTCCTTCCCCTCACTACCCGCAGCAGACAGACCAAACGTTCCACCCTCTCTTCCCCTGCCACACAATCACCTCAACCTTCCTTTGCCCCTACACTTCAGACACCAGTCCTCTCCCTCCACCCCCTCACAAGAAAAGCTTTGTCTCACAAAACTCCCCAACCAACTCCATTACAGAAACTCTTGAAGATATTCAAAACTATCTACTCGAGTCCCAAACTGACACTAAAATTCAAATTCCACAACTCCCGCTCCCTTCACACTCCAAGTGACTGCCGATATCCATCCTCCTCCCAACGATATCCCCCCTACACCCTATCCTCCTACCCCTTCCCACCCCTATGTTCCTTATGTAAAGTTCCTCTTTCAGTCCCACACATTCTATTATCATGCCCACGTTTTGAAGCAGCCCGTACCTCTGCTTTCCCCCACCTATCCTCCCTTCACCGACCTCCCAACCTATCAGACATCCTTACAGAATCTCACATTTTCTGCTTCGACAACCTGTTTTCCTTCCTCAAACGCACTTATATCTTTCACTTAATGTAACCCCTTTACATTATCTCACCCGACCTTAACCCCTTCACTCACCAATTCCTTTGCCTAGCTTTGACAACTAATCACTAACTCAACCACCTTTTACTAACATTTACTATAGTGCTATATGACCTTAGATGTCTAGCACATTCATTTTGCTTTTAACCATTAACCATGGCCAATAATGAAGATTTTACGCCCTTAGTACGAGCAACCCCCTAATCCCTTGCAGGTTGTTGCCGCGGGAGGGCTTGGCAGGTGGAGACAGGCCCAATGTACGGGATCACCCCTACCGTAGACCTCGGCCTCGCCTCAACTAATTTTGCAGGGTCTTTTCTTCTCCCACTCCTTTTTCTTTTCTTTATCCTCTTCTGTCCACTTATCCAAATCGTTAACTTATATGTACCCTTTTCACCACAATATTTAATTATGATTCTGTGTAACCTTTGATGTTTGGCACATTGCCCATACACACATTGCCTCACAAAAAAAAACCTGGGGCCTTTGTCCCCAAGCCCCACCCAATCGACACTTTGTATACGCCGCAAATGACTTTAGATGTTGACGCGGTAGAATTTTTTCAGTAATTAAAAATACAGGCAATGTGGCTTGCCCCTTCATCAAGTAGCCCCACTGACTCAAGTTCTCTCGGTTCCCCGACCCCATTTAACCACGATTCAGAACATTGCTACTACTACCACTTCTCAATGCATACTATTACATCATCCAACCGGGTCAAAACACAACCTCCAGGAGACATTCATTCCCTCCCAACATTTTCAACTTCATCCCCTCTACCTTCTCTTTTCTTTTTCCATTTCTTTATCCCTTGTTCTGTTTACTTACCCTAATCGTTAACTCATTTTTTCCCGTTTTCGCCACAATATTTTATCATAATGCTCCCTACTCCCCTAACTCCTTCCCCTTCTAACAACCTTTACCTTATGCATGACATCAGCTCCCTCTCTACTTTTTTTTACTAAAATACTACCCTATAGTACAGTTCAACCTGTAACTTTACCGTAATCATTAACTCATTTCTAATCCTTTTTGCTACTTTACTTTTCCCATAGTGCCATATGACCTTTGTTATATAGCACTTTGCCCTCAAGACTCACGCTATCGCTATATTTTGAATACCCCATTAGATGTCAAAAAATAAATCAATCTACCCCACGATTT